GTTTTGGATTTAGGATGAGAACAATGTTGATATTAGCATGAGAACAATGTTGGTAACACACCGATGTTTTAGTTGTTGCTAAGCAGTGCTTACACTGGCCAAGGACTTTTCAGCTTCCCATGCTCTACTGTCTGAGCAGGCTGGAGGTGCACAAGAAGCTGGGAGGGGGCACAGCCAGGACAGCTGCCCCAAACTGGCCAAAGGGACATTCCATACCATGTGATGTCATGCTCAGTATATGAAGCTGGGGGAAGAAGGAAGGGGGGGACGTTTGGAGTGATGGCGTTTGTCTTCCCAAGTCACCGTTACGTGTGATGGAGCCCTGCTTTCCTGCCTGCCGATGGGAAGGAGTGAATGAATTTCTTGTTTTGCTTTGCTTGCATGTGCAGCTTTTGCTTTACCTATCAAACTGTCTTTATCTCAACCCATGAGTTTTCTCACTTTTACCCTTCCGATTCTCTCTCCCATCCCACTGGGAGGGGAGTGAGCGAGCGGCTGGGTGGTGCTCAGTTGCCAACTGGGGTTAAACCACGACACATCCACAGGTGCCAGGAGGGATCCCCATCAGTGTTATCAGGGAATGTGAGAGAAGGAAGGAAGGAAAAGGGAGATGGAGTGGGACAGAGTTGGCTGTGCCAGCAACGCAGCATCAGGCACCAGCCTGCAGCCAGCTGCATGGCAGGACTGTCATCGTGCCACAGCTCTGGACTGTCCACATTTCACTTCTCCACCTCTGACATTCAGTGCCATTAAGGGCAGATGAAAACAGCAGGTTATTTTAGTATGGTGACCTCTGGACAACAGTTTGGCAGTTCTTTTGCCCAACTTTGGTATAGGCCTGGTTCATAGTTTTCAACCAAATCTTGTTTTCCCCAGTAAATTAGTTCTGTTGAAATATAAATGAAATTAAGTGAAACTAAGAAATAAATAAATAAATAAAATAAAATAACGTAAAAATTAAAATGTAAGATAAGAAAGCTTGTGGCCAAACTTTTTCGCCCTTTGAGGTACCATTTCTTTAAAGAAGTGCTACAGTGTTTCATGGCAATTTTTAAAAATGGGAACTGGTATCAGTCGCTCCATTAAATGGTGTTATTCCTCCGTGCCAACCTTGTTTCATATATATCTTTAGACCACCACGGTTACAGTGACACTGTTCCTAACTGCTAATTAAATGTGAGAGGAGAGAAGGTTGTGAGGCATTTTTACAGGTGGAAATCGGGAACAACTCTGGTGATGCCAGCAACAAGCTATTGGCATCAGAAGTTAATTTTTCCATAGATCCTTCTGTATAATTCTCAGTAACGTGGTGCCATATACCCACACCCGTGTGAAGAGATGGCTGTTGGGTGCGGGGTTGGTTGATGGCACACAAGAATACATATCCCACCTCCTGGCGTGGTGCCGATATTCCCCCACACCGTTGTGCCCGAGACAGGATCCCTTCACACAAGCATTCAACTACGATTCCAGCTTTTCAATGGCTTCACATTCGAGCTGATGTGAACAGATGGAGAGGCAGGACATGAATTAGACGAATGAGAGTTGGAAGCACAAGGAAAGGATGAAAACTAAGAGTTTAGCGTGGAGCAGACACCTTTACCAGCAGTACTTGGACCACAGTGATGTATTTTGCCAGAAGAGTGTGACAGCAGCACTCCATGAAGGCCACCTTTTACTAGACTGAAAACCCTTTTCCCTAGTGCCAATGTACTAAGGACTCCTTATAATTCCCCAGATACCAACCAGAAACACCCCTTGGAAACAAAGTGGAGTTTATGCAGCCACTGAACCTTTCGATCTACAAGACAGCATCAAAGAGGGGATCTAATCAAATTTTTAAAAGAAACAAGGCATAAAACTCAGATCAAACTCCCTGAATATTTTTTGCCTATTTCTGACAGACCTGAACATTTCTTGGAAGAGTTTCCTCTAAAATAAATAAATGAATCACCATCTTAACCCCACAGCAGGACTTCCCCCCTCCCATACACACACACACACACTTACATACACAAATAATACGCCTACAGTAAATCAGTTTGCGAGACATGATCCCGCAAGATGCTGATCAGGATGTCCTGATGGGGAGAGGGTCCCAGGGTACTCCCAGGGACCCCCCAGTGCCTGGCTGGCCAAAATGAGGAGGCACAGCTGTCACATCTGACTTAGCAAGATGGGGCATGTGGAGGGGCAGGCGGGTTGGTGTGTGGCAGCTGATGCAAGGTGCGCTTGGGGCCTGAACGTCCAGTTAAAATTATATCAGGTTTTAGAGGAAAACTAAAGTCCACTAAATTGGAAGAAACTTTTTGCTTTGTGTGCTGCTGTGCGTCGGATCGGGTGCGTGCTTTTAAGGACGGGGCCATCATTAGGCATGCACAGTGGTTACCTAGAGAAAAGCAGATGCTGCAGATATTCATACGTTACCGTTTTCAGGGTGTACAGCAGTTTTCAGCCTCCTCCTGAAACGGTGCTTCTCAGTGTGGCCCACACACTTGTAGTTTTGCATCTCAACAGGAGGAAGGGCTCATTTTGGTGAGTGGGGCTTTCTGCCTTTTCACCTCGTCTCTCTGAGGAGAAAAGAGAGGCCTGATTAAAACCTATTAATCTAAAGACTTGGGCAAGAGATGTTGAATAAATTATAAAACCTAAAATTGTTAGAATTGTCAGAGAGACAGACAGACAAGCAAAATTTGACATGTATTGAGCATGTAAGGACACATCAGCTAATTTGGAGTTTTTGCTCCCATTTTAGAAAGTCAAAAGATTTCATAATTTTCCTTTTTGAAGGAGGCATAAATCAAAGCTGGGTATTTTGCTGATAAAATATTTCCTCTTCTGGGCTTTATCACAAGTGAAAATGAACTCAGCATTCGCAGCTTCGTCCCAGTTAATCAGAACTTGCAATCAGAGAAATCAAGTCCTATTTCTGCCTGCAAGTGAAGCCAGAGTTAATATTCTTGTGTGACCCAGGAACCTTTTGGTGGGCAGATGGACCCTCTGTCCGTAAACGAGGGGGGACGGCTCTGTGGCAAAGTGAGACTCAGGCTCAAAACGTGCCTCTTCAGGGAAAGGGTGGCATCCCGAACACAAGGCTTTCAGGCTTGCCAAGTTCTCTGCGGGGTATTAGGGGCTTCTTTTTAGCTGCCTAAAACCAGCCACTCAAACTTCGCAGGCACAAATATTCACCCCAAATGTGAGCATGACATAAATCAAGCAATAAAAGTTAATCGGCATCATTAAATCTGTCAAACCAGCAGGTTATTAAAATTACCACTATTCACTCTGAAAATGGGAACAAAAAATTATGCTCCAGCTTTCTGAGCCTGTTTGTCTTGTTTTCCCACACTGCTTATGAATTACTGCAGTATATTACAATGTCCTCTATCCATCTTCATTAGCATTGTGAACAAATTGTATTGGGCTGTAATGCAGCATTTTTTTGGTATTGTACAAACATATATGATGTACAGAAAATGGGCAATTTAATATGAAAAGAATATTCTGCCTCAGAATTTTTATTTTCTAAACAGTCATTTCAGTTGGGAATTATTGCATGATTTGTGCATAATTTCTCATGGATAGTTATTTAAATATAAATAGGGAAAATATGTAATTCCATATGGTGGCTATCTACCCTTTCTTGATGCCTTTCCATATTTTTAATAGTGCAATAAACAAAAGATAAAAACATCTCTAAGCCACACACTAGTCAAAAGAAGATAATTGTGCCTGTATGTGTTTATTGTAATTTGAATGTGCTTCAATTAACTTTCCTCAATATTTCCCAGTTCTTTTAAAAGAAACTTAAATTGGTTTTTATTTTGTGAAATTTGTTTTCTGTGCAATAAGAAAAAAAAAACCCAATGCCTTTGTTTACCTCATTATGGATACATCTTACCCAGGAGCAAAGCTCCAACTCTTTATTCCCAACAACCTTTTTTTTTCCATTCTCAAATTCTTCTTCTTATATTTTAAGTAAAAATATCAAGTTTCTAGTGCTCCCTAGTAAAAGGCAGCTCATCATCGCTCGATATATCACATATCAAAGTGTGGTAAAACATGAAAATGTCAGAAAAGCAAACTCTTACGCTTCTGCACTGCAGTCACTTTTAAAAGATGAGAATTTATTACCCCTTCCTCCTACAAATCATCAGGGCGACCGAAACAGAGAGAGTGTATATAGAATGCTTGTTGTAATTAACCTTGAGGCTTTTATTTAAACAAGGTCAAACATTTTAACAGCTTTATAAATCAAGGTTGGGTCTGCACGGCTCTATAGCATCAGGCTAATGATAAAATGCACATGGAATACTTATTAAACAGTATTTATTTACAGAACATATATCCTGCAAGCTTCAGAGAGGCACACCCGCAGGCTGATCTAGCACCAACAGACACACAGCTCCAGCCCCAACCAAACCACCCCAAGGTGACCGGTGTAACGTGCTTTTATTATGTGCTACCGAGGAGCCAAGCCCAGGTGTTGGTAAATTAGGTCATTTGCAAGCTAACTGCATTTTTAGTGTGATTGCAAAATTACAGGAGGTAGATCACAATCATACCAATATCTGCGGTTCTGTCCTTAATTTTGTTCGATTCTTATTTACTTTTTCTTCTACTTTAGTTAGGTTTTACTGGAAGGAGAAGGAAGGAGGACATCTGAGTTGAGTAAGATGAACTACTTCTTACGTGTTAGTGAGTAGCTACCCAGGAACCTTTATCAGTCTCTAAAAATAACACCCTTGGATTCCTCTGGCCATCCTGGGTTATCTTCTACTTCCTAGTAAAATATATCCATCAGGAGTAATTTTTTCTGACCGAGGAACATCACACTGGGCTTTCTATTTTGCACTCTAGACAAATGGTAGCTTTTAAGTTGCCCCCGTTCATAATTTCACACACTCTTCAGTGTATCAGAGCATAATAAAGAAGATCACAAACCACAGCGCCTAGCATGGCTGCTTTACACGACGGTCCGCTCTGCAGACATCCCTTACCAAAAATCCTCTCTTTGAAGTCAAGAGGAGATCCATGTGGTGCCCGCTACACGTGTGACCCACCAGTCGTAAAATTGCTGGCATAATTTCCCTAAATGATTCAGATAATTTCTCCCCGAATATTTCTTGGCGCTTAAGCGTTTTTCTTAGGCCCATGGTGTATGAGTTACACAGACCCTAAAGGATACTCATTATTCACCATGCTTGCTCTCTTAAACTTCACATCTGGGTTGCCACAACCACCTCCCAGTATGAGCTCTGGGTCCCTGGAAACATCGGTACGGCTGCAGTTGGGATCTCCACCTAAACCTCCTCCCTTTCAGCTGGCCACAGTATATTGCATCACATCCAACCAACAAAAATCCCCCGTATCAGCAGGGCCAACAGCGGGGACCAAACTGGGTGAAGAAGGAAACATTTTTCGGCATCTGCGTTCACCATTTTAATTGACTTCTCCTGTCATTTGTTCCCCTTCTGTGACCTCCGACTATAAGTGTTCAAGCCCCTGTAGTAACCCCCAGGAAAAAAAAAAATAGTTGTGTGGGTGTTTAAGTATCCGCGTGAAGCAAACTTCTATCCTCTTCCCATCAGAATGGGAAGGAGACCATGTGAGTGATGTGACCAATTACCACTGAGCACCCCAGAGCAGCTTCTGAATATTCACGTCCAATTGCTACTTTGGTGGAACAATTGGCTTGAACAGTTTGAAAAGGCAATGATGTCAAACGTGCGGCGTGATTAAACGCAGCGAAATTACCAACCGTTGAGCTGAAAAAGAAGCTCAGTTTCCTTCCCAGGGTAATTCTGCTCTCGAATTTTGTAGGAAACCCCGTGCTCAGATGGCCTCTTCCTGCACACCCAAATCTGCCAGGGCAAAGTTGCAGCTGAGTTTTGGAGGCAGCATGGACCAGGACATGCACGGGAGCATGTGGTGCAGCAAGTTAAATGCCTCCTCTTCACCCTGATCCTCACGCAGAACCACACTTCCACCCCAGGTAGAGCAATGCAGCAGCACATTCTGCAAGCACACCGTGATGCAAATGTAATTTGAATCAAAGATTTTTAGGGCCAAGTATCTGGGAGTTGAACTGTCTGGATAACTGGCAAAGGCTACCCCTTTTCCATCAATATCAGCCACGTTTGGGAGCTCTTCTGCTTTCTTTATAGACAAGGAACATGTTAAACACACAGTCCTGCTTCTTGGTTCACCCCTATTTCTGTCATCACTGAAAATGGCCTATACCCTTTAAAAAAATAGACCATTAATTCCTCCATCCAGCTCTCTCCTTCTGCTTTAAAAATGCATATACCATTGTAAGTTATAGTTCAGTAGTAGCCCCAGTTTTATGACTGAGTCATGCGGATCCAAGCATTAGGAGAAACAGCATTTTTTTATTGCAGTGCACAGACAAGTGTGCGGTTCCCAGATGGTAGAAGGGAGCTGGGAGCACACATGAGGAGAAAAAACTAATACGTCCTCCAGGATCATATCTGATGCTGAGCCCTTGTTAGAGAGAGTGGGCACAGAAATGCTGCCCGTCTCCGGCTGCTCAGGTTTGGGGCCAGCTCTGAAAACAATTTCTCTCCTCCTGGTTCCCTTCGGGGAAGGTGATTGTGCATATTTTTGTACAAAAAACCCCCCGTTTTTTTCTTAACAAGCAACTCCCACACATTTTGTGAATGTGCAAAATGCTTCTTAAACATGATGCAGGAGGCTAAGATGAGGAACCAGCCTGTATAAAATCCTCCCTGCAACTAGGGAACTTTTTATTTTCCTTTCTTCTCATTTCCTACCCAGAGATCTGAGCTAATTTTCCCTATCCATAGGCTCCCCCCACTCCCTCAAAAAAAAAAAAAAAAAAAAAAAGGGAGGGGGGAGACTGTATTCACTAATTATACATCCTGAAAAGAATTTGGTTCAGTGTAAGATGATCCTAGTGATATGCTAATCCTTTTTTCTGCTTGGTGCAGCCTGAAGCCTGTGTCTAACATTTTTTTCAACTGTATGACAATAAAAGTTGTGGCAACAAAAGAAATAAATGGGCAGCTAAAGAAGGTATAGCTGAAACACATGGCAGACCAGTTCTCTCCTCTCCTTCTGGCTGCTCTTTTGTAGGCTCTGGTTTGGTATCCTCAAGTCAATAGCCGAAAGCCAGCCACCTTAGCAACTTAGTATGACACCCAAGCCCTCTCTCTTTACATTCATGAATAGTCAGCAAGCAGCAGACAAAATAGAACTAATCTTTTTTGACAGAATTGTTCAATTTTAGAGGAAAGGCTTTTGAGGCACCTTCCATACATTTGCAGAATATGAGACAACAATGGCCACCACCACATTTTACAAAAGGACGACCAGGGATGTGAGCGTGCACGCATGCACTCACGACGGCCATTTCGACAAAATATTGCAGCTAAGTTCAAACGATTGCAGGATATGCCCATTGTTAGGGGGAAAGCTGGCAGGCAAGAAAAAATAAATAAATTTAACCCCCCCCAAACTCCATTGTTTTGTTGCTGATTATTAAACATACACAACCCGATAACGTGCGATTAGGGTTATTTGTCTTGATAAACCAAAGTTAAGAGAGCTGATTAATATCCACTCTTTAATTTCCTGTCATAGGCTGATAACTTCATTTTTTTTTTTTTTCTTTTTTGGACCAATGATTCTTGTTGTGAAATGCATTCAATCCAGCAGGTTCTCGCCTGCATCTAAAAGCTGGTTTTGCCATTTCGAAATCCTGTAACACAGCAGCCACTCACAAGTCTAGTATGTGCAGAGAAGGACATTCCTCCTTTTCCTTTCTCTCCCCTCCATTTAATGCAAGCCATATCTCTATCTCCAAATACAGTCTGAGCAGGAAAGAGAAGGAAATAATAATAATAATAATAGTAATAATAATAAAAAAAATCTACCCAGTCTATGGGCAAAACCAGAAGTTAGCAACACGGTCCATGCAGCTGCAACACTACATTTAAAATTCAGTTTACTCCTAGGAAGAGGGCTAATCCTGCCCCTGTAATTCCCTACAGCCAAAATGTACCCCCCTCCCTGAGTGACAGTGCAATGCAAAGACACTCGCACGCTTATCTTCCCCAACCAGATGGCCGACTTGGATCAATGCACACACGCCACGATCAATGGGAGCGATAAAGAATTAGGAAAACAGTGGTACATGCTCCCAGAAAGCTTGTACACTGCATAATTATTTTATGATTCTACACATGGCTACATGTGATACTGGAGTCAAGAAGGAAAAGGATAATTAGAGAGCCAGAAAGCACCCGTACTGCACTACACACTTTGTCAGTCAGCAGTTCCCACTCGGCTCAACTCACCATCGTTATCTCCTCTCCTGCCCCCTTGCAAACGAATTTAGGGAATATGTAAAATATTAGGGGGGAGGCGGCTTTTGGGTTATAGAGATGGGATACAGGAGATTATCGTGTCCTGTGATATGACAGCAAAAGTTTTTGGCCGAGGGATGGGGTGAACCGCGTGAGCATCACTTGGGGAAGCGGAGCACGGGGTGGCATCCGCGGGGCACAGGGGTACCTGTGACGAGCAGGGGCTGCATCTGAACCCTTCTAGGGCTTTGTCAGGAGAGGGATGTATCCACGTCCATTCAATAAAATATAGCTGTATATGTTACTCTCTGGGTTTGGTTCCCCCCCCCCACTCCTTTCCTCCCGGCAGCAATTTTGTGATTGTCTCCTTGTATCCAGCCTATTTGTCACCATGCCGCTAAGCAGAAAAGGGGGGGGAGGAAAGAATTGCCCCCCCCCAACTGATTGAATGACACAGAATAAATATCAAAGCGCTGGATGGTTACGACTGTGAATCTGGATGCCAAAGAACACATGACTGAGATTAGGGAGCAGAACAATGCCAGGCAGAAAGCTGCCCTTCGTGGCAAGGCAGGCAGTGAGAAATCACCGCTCTAAGCACTTTGCAAAAACACCTCGTCACCGCCTGACGCCACCGACGCGTCCTCGCCCTGCCGGCACCGGGTGTAATACCACCCTGAAATTGCTGATGGGGACGGAGGGAGGACAAGGAGACGGGCTGCCATCAGCATCGGAGGCAAAGCCGCGGCCCCCGTATACCTCTGAGTGCCCCCATGGACAGGACCTTCCCACTGGCTGTCAGGCTGGTGGTGGGACCTGGGGTCATGGCATGGTGTTGCTGCGCAAGGGGAGAGTGGGGTAAGAAATACCCAAAAAGAATTATGGAGAGTTCATTCACCGACCCATCAAGGAGCAGAGGGGCGGGATGGAGAGCTGGAGCTCGGAGTGGAACAGGGAAGGCATCACTATCCCTTCCATGGCTGCCTTTCCTCCTGGGGGCTCAGTGCATGCTGCAGAGGTGTCATTGCTGGAGACCACGGTCCAGAGACACCTGCCCAGGTCCTTCTACAGGGATGTGGGAGAGGGGCTCACCCCGCATCTCCTCATCCCTGTCTCCGCCCGCTCCCCCAGTGTAAATGAGGGACAAACAGCAGCTTTCAGTAACATAAATGAACAAACATTGTGGTGGTGACGTGTTTGGAAATGTCCGTTTTAAATGCAAAGGTTTAAAACAGGGGAATTGGGGTCTCTCCTGCTGGCATTTGACTTAAATCAAGACCAGAGCCCAGAGCCTTTGCCCTGACATGCAGAGCAAAACGTCTCTGATGCATACTCAGACTAAATGTCACCCCAAAAACCTCTGCACTTTACTCTTCTCCTCCCCTCAAACACAAATCATTGCATGGGCAAAGGCGCATCAAACTGCAGCGGCTTCACCAGTAGAAACCACCACTGTGAACATAACTATGAGGCTGGACTGGTGATCAGAGATACCCCACGCATGACAAGTCACTCACTAAATCCGTTACTGCAGCTCCAGTCCCAAACACACATTTCTGCTTGTTCGTAAAGGTTTTCCATCATACTGGGTCTCAAATCAAAACACCCATTACAGCTTGGTTTGCCCAGCAATGTTTTGCTCCACAAAAATCACATGTTCATAGGAAAGGCATGACTTGGGTCAATTTAAGCAAACATCCTCCACTGCCAAATCAGAAATTATGCAGTGTCAGTTCTGCCTACGAGGAAAAACATTCAGGCAACACTGCCTGCAAGCATCACTCTAGGAGCTGAGCAGCGCAAGAGGG